TTTAGCAACCACTTTGTATCCAAGGTACTGAACTTCGTCAGCCAGCTATGTGCATTTGCTTCTTTTAAGCCTGAGACCAGCATCCTCCAACCTGGTTAACACCTCATCCAGGTTCCTGAGGTGCATTTCATTTTATTGGGTATGGGGTACTGTTCCAGGGTGGAGACTCTATTAACAGTCAATTTATAATCTCACAAAGTGTACAGTCTCCGTCTGGCTTGAGTAAGGGAACAACAGGAGCAGCCCAGTCTGAATATTTAACTGGGGCAATGATATCCTCTTTGATCAACCTTTCAATTTCAGCATCAACTATAGGCTTCATAGCATAGGGAACAGACCTGGGTCTATAGAAGCGGGGAGTAGCATTAGCTGGCACTTGAATAGTGTCTTTAAACCCTTTTAAGGTCCCCAGCTCCTTTCTAAACGCTCCCTCATGCTTTGTGAGCACTTGCTGTAGGGTCAGGGATTGTGGGTACTTTGTAATGTGCTGCACATGGCTTCTGATCTCGGCCCAGTCTAGTTTAACATGCTTCAACCACCATCTTCCCAATAAATTTGGACCTCTGCCTTTAACTGCTATAATAGGCAGTATCTTTTCCTGCATCTTGTAGTTAACTCTCACATAAGTCTTTCCAAGCACCTTGATCCTTTGTTTACATATATATATATATTATATGTTCTCAAATCTAGGCGGATTCTTTTTAGTAGAGGAGCATTTTTTCTTTTTTGTTTAAATGTTCTTTGATTTAATATTGTGAAACCACATCATGTATCTACTTCAAATGTTACTGGTTCCCCATTTAGGTCCATGCAAACCTTATAGGGGGCTTTTGTCAGTCTTCTTTTCCGCATTGTCCTTTTTCTTATTGCGACATGCTCGTGCTATGTGTCCAATCATTCCACATGCATGACATTTTTCCTTCTTGAAACGACTGAAACGACGTCTGTGGGTGAATGCCTCCCCTTGCAGCGGTAACACACTTTGTCAATTTGTCCATTTCCATAGCTCATTGACTCACCACTCTTCATTGTGTTACATGACATAGCTCCCACTCTTATTTGCAAATCCTACACATTTTGATTTGCAGATTCCATTGCTTGGGCTAGAGACAAGGCACTTTCAAATGTGAGAGCAGTCTCTGATAGCAGTCTTCTCTGGATTCTGTCATCATTTATCCCACACATCAGCCTGTCCCGTAACATTTGTGACAATGTCTCTCCATAATTACGGTCCTGGGATAATTTTCTTAATTAAGCCACATATTCCGCAACAGGTTCTGTGGGTTTTGTCATGCGGGAATCAAATTTAAATCTCTGGACGATTTCACTTGGCTTGGGATTAAAGTGATTTTTCAGTAATGCTTCCAACTGTGCAAAAGTCTTTTCTCCAGGTTTCTCGGGACTTAGGAGGTTTCTCATCAAACTGTAGGTTTGTGCCCCCACTACACTGAGCAATATGGATTTCTTTTTATCTACATCATCGATATCATTTGCAATAAAAATGTGTTCCATAATTTCACAGTATTCCTATAGTTGCCATCTCACCCACATGTGTCCTCCTCCCTTCACCAAGTCCTTTGTTCTCATGGAGTCTTCAATAAACCAGCCAAGTCCGTCCTTTGTGCTCCAGCCGAAGTGCAGCACATCTCCAAAGTATCCTCGTCGCCAATATAACATAGTGGATCAGCATTTGTCAAGGAGGGACCAGGGCTTCAGTAGTAGGTTTCTTGTGGCTTTTAATCAAATATTTTGGGCAGTGCAGACATAAACCCCCACATGCCACCAGGGGGCCTTTACATATACAGGTGAAACTCGAAAAATTAGCATATAAATTAGCATATTGTGCAAGTTCATTTATTTCAGTAATTCAACTTAAAGAGGTGGTATTATGCACATTTTCAGGTTCAAAATCTTAATTAGGGATTGTACCAGAACAGGTTTACATGGTTTAATTTTCCAAAAACACCATTCCTCATACTGCACATTGCTGCAGCTACTCTTTTCAGCCTATGTGTTGTACGCTCCGCTCTTGAGCTTCAGAGTGATGCATCTTACTTGTACAAAATCTTTGTTGGGAGTTGCACATGCGCAGTTCCCAGGTAAGGACTACTAGCCAATCAGAAGCAGAGAAGGGTGGGTCGTAAGAAACAAGGTAGTGTGATCCAAATCAAAGCCGCTTCAGACTGAGACCGTAAGCTAGCAGATGGTATAAGTTATTACCAGTCCACAACCACACAACATCATTGTTCCACATCTTACCATTAGGACTAAACGTTGAACTGTTGCCGGTGTTCTGACGATCTATGCTGCCTTGCCGAAAAATGCTACCATAGCACAAATCGATAGACTCGACTCTACTCGGCCCTGTTCCGTTTTCCATTGCAGATAGTACCCAGAGATAGTACGTAGCTTGTCGTCATAGCGACGCCACACACAACTGCCGCGACGTAATGTTCAATGCGACACACACCAGCAATCCACACAGCTTTCTCTTTTTTAAGTTAAAACGTTTCAACATTACTCAGAATGTAAAGACAGATAAGCGGTATGAAAACCTTTCAGCTGTGTTTTCCTCTGCCGTTGTTGGCTTACAGCTTATGAAATCCCCAAATTCAAAATCTCAGAAAATTAGAATATTGTGAAAAGGTTCAGTATTGTAGGCTCAAAGTGTCACACTCTAATCAGCTAATTAATCCAAAACACCTGCAAAGGGTTCCTGAGCCTTTAATTGGTCTCTCAGTCTGGTTCGGTGGAATTCACAATCATGGGGAAGACTGCTGACCTCACAGTTGTGCAGAAAACCATCATTGACACCCTCCACAAGGAAGGAAAGCCTCAAAAAGTTAATTGCAAAAGAAGTTGGATGTTCTCAAAGTGCTGTATCAAGACACATTAATAGATAGTTAAGTGGAAGGGAAAAGTGTGGAAGAAAAAGGTGCACAAGCAGCAGGGATGACCGTAGCCTGGAGAGGATTGTCAGGAAAAGGCCATTCAAATGTGTGGGGGAGCTTCATAAGGAGTGGACTGAGGCTGGAGTTACTGCATCAAGAGCCACCACACACAGACGGGTCCTGGACATGGGCTTCAAATGTCGTATTCCTCTTGTCAAGCCGCTCCTGAACAACAAACAACGTCAGAAGCTGCTGGTGTTGGTCCACTGTGCTTTATTAAGTCCAGAGTCAGCGCAGCCGTCTACCAGGACATTTTAGAGCACTTTATGCTTCCTTCTGCAGACAAGCTTTATGGAGATGCTGACTTCATTTTCCAGCAGGACTTGGCACCTGCCCACACTGCCAAAAGTACCAAAACCTGGTTCATTGACCATGGGATTACTGTGCTTGACTGGCCAGCAAACTCGCCTGACCTGAACCCCATAGAGAATCTATGGGGCATTGCCAAAGATGAAAGACATGAGACCGGACAATGCAGTAGAGCTAAAGGCCGCTACTGAAGCATCCTGGTCTTCCATAACACCTCAGCAGTGCCACAGGCTGATAGCATCCATGCCACGCCGCATTGAGGCAGTAATTCATGCAAAAGGGGCCCAAACCAAGTACTGAGTACATATGCATGATTATACTTTTCAGAGGGCTGACATTTCTGTATTTAAAATGCTTTTTTTAAAATTGATTTCATGTAATATTCTAATTTTCTGAGATTTTGAATTTGGGGTTTTCATAAACCGTACGCAATAATCATCGAAATTATCAAATAAAGGCTTGAAATATCTCACTTTGCATGTAATGAGTCTATATAATATATTAGTTTCACCTTTTAAGTTGAATTACTGAAATAAATTAACTTTTGCACGATATGCTAATTTTTCAAGTTTCACCTGTACCTTCTCTGGCAGGTAACTTCCTGCCAGGTAACAAACGCTTGGATTCCCAAGAGCTCCCTCTAGGGTAATACCAAATATTAGTAATCTCAGGCTATTACAGGTCTGTATAATAAATACGCAATAAGAGCTAACTTGAGTGGTCAACAGTTGCCTAGCAGCATAGATTACTAGTGCACATACGAGTAAACAGAGTATTGCACATTGCCACCCTAAGTATTGTTATATGCCAGAGAGGTTATGCTGAGGTGATCTAAAAGTTCAGTATGTTTATGTAACTGTCTACCTATCTTGTCGTTCAGGTGTCAGCGCTGCTGATTCCAGAGCCCATCCAGATGAAGCGCTTTTGTCCAGCTCAACTGCATATAACAGTCCCAGCTTCCATCGTGGCTCTTCTAGCTCCTGCACCTCACTGCTTTGCTTTAACTTTTACTCCACAACACCTGAGTACTACCGATTTCAAATTATGACACTGGGTTCCTATCAACAGGTTCTATCATTATAATTACTGTTACACTATTTTACGTCATACAAAACAACTTTTACATTTGTAACCTTTAATATTGATGTTTTCATGAATTGAAGATGTCATTTTAAATTGGTAAACCATTGCTTCTGTATTGAATCATTTGTCATATTTAATGGATCAGACTAAATATACTTAAAATTACATCACATTCTTCATTCATCAGTTTCCTATGTTAATTGGAAATAGAGTGATCTAAATTTAACAAAAAATGACAGCTGCAAATGAAAGTATTAAGATGGTGTTTATAGGTTAACATTTTGCATATATGTTGGTAGAAAGTAAAAAATGAAAAGCTGATGTTACATGCTGGTTCTTTAGGAGACAAATATGACTCACATCATTTAATGCAACCTCTGAGAAGATCTATACAGTGTGAGTGATTCATAATTACTCCATCCAGGTCATTCTTTGTATCAGCACTTACCCAGAGGTTGGTTTGGATGTGCGCAAATGTTTTCATGTGAAACGAACATTTTTTAGGAGTATTTTCACTTTTTTCAACTCATACTAGACTTATCTTAGCAAAGCTTCAGCTTTAATGTTTAATATTTTATCTGTGTTGTATGATTAGCTTATTTGAATTGACAGACAGAATGTGAAATCTAACATTTTCACTTGAACAGACAAAAGGAGTGCAAATAAATGTAAAGAATTTATTGCAATGTAAACCATAACCATATATTATTATTATATAAAACAGACATATGGACAATATTAAAAATCAATCTAAAAAGTAAACAAAAAGGGGAGAGGGCCTTTCCACATCAGTCCACCACTGGTCTCTGCAGCTCTCTGGGCACCAGGTCGCACATCTGCTACACACTTTGACTATGGGAGGAAAATAAATGCGTTAGAAATACTGCAGGTAATTAAAAAAGTTGAACAATATACGTACGACAGATCTTTAAAAGAAATAGAATATCGTGGAAGAGTCAATTTTCTAACATAATTTAATTCAAATTAAACAAAGAATATTAGCATAAATAATAATACAGAAATGTCAACCGGAGAAGCGCTCTAATCAGCTAATTAATTCAACACTGGCAAAGGTTTCTGAAACCTCTCTTTCTCTCTGGGGCTCACAATGAACTTTTCAACAATATTCAGTTTTAGTTTTTTTTAAATGCACCTCTAAAAGATGGCTCGGTTTATGGTGACAGTACTATCACATGTGGGAGAAAATGGAACAATGGAGCAACACTTCAAAATATAGATGACAAGTATGTTTTTTGTTGTACATTGGAGGTCAAAGAATGCAAGACATTTACATTTTCTCATTTGGCAGACTGAATATCAGCCCTCAAATGTCCAGTAGCCAAGACTAGTATTTACAGTTTAAGCTGTGTGTAAGTTAGCAGACACATCACAACTTCCACAAGAACCCATCACTGAAATAAATAAACATCTTGTAACAAATATCAAAGTGCCTTTCTTTCTCAGCAGTCATTTTCAATACCTGATTTGTATAGCTCACAGCATCATCATTTATATGTGAAAGCCTCCCCTAGACCTAGGGGAGTTCCTGACAGTTTTTGGTACCGATTGAAAATTCCCGTGAGCAGCCTTTAACCTAAACTTCCACGGCCATTAACTGCCGAAAATCACACTTTTCATGCAATGAAATCAAACATGACTCAAAATCTGTGATTAACCTACTGTAATAACCCAAACCCTGCATCTGCAGAAGGAGTTCCCTCAGACGTCCTGGTATGTAGATCTGGTAGATTGTTTTATGTGGAAGTTGCAGGAGTCGGTAGACTTTGTCTTCTAAGATGGTGAACTGGATAGTCATTTACAGTGAGCTCTCCACCATCTAGTATTAACTGGTAAATTTTCTGTATTTCCGTGTCTTCTTGTTGTGCTCTTCATATCTCCTCATCTGATAAGCAAAGTTCCTTAACTCACAGCAGTGTGGCAAATGCTGAGGGCTCCTGGCAAACACTTTCATTAGGGGCTCTGGATAAGGCATCTGAACCGTATTGTACTTCCCCCCCTGTTACTCTACTGCAAAGGTGAACTGCATATGAAGAACCCAGGAGGTGAGACGTATAGTTGGTTTCTGAATTTCAGAAACACCAAGGAGGTGTGATCTGTCAGTCTCAAAAGATTGCCAACATTCAGAGCTCCACTGGAATTTGGCTCCTTTAGTGGTTTAGCAGCCTCAGAGAAGTAAGGCATAAAGTGGTGGTACCAGTCTGCCATACCCAAAAACCTCTGGAAAGCTTTGATGTTAGTTGGCAGTCCTCCCTGGATCCACTTGGATTGTAGAGACAATGTGGCCCAAGAAGTGCAGAGAGGTTTGGAAGAATTTACTATTCTTCATGTTAACAGTAAGGTTGGCTTCCCTTAACTCATTAAAAACAGCCTGGTTGTCCAAGTAGTGTTGTTCCCACGATACTAAAATGATGATGTCATCTAAATAGACAAAGCAAGTGCGGCCTTTGAGCTATCCCAAACTTATTTTCGTTAGCCCCTGGAAGGTATCTGGGGCATTCTTTAGTCCAAAATGTCAGTTTGTGGTGTGGAGAGGCAGGTTGTAGGACCAAACGCAGGACACGAAGACTAGCAGGTGCAGTTCAGAGTTTTATTTAAAGCAACAAAAAGCGAGCACACTTACAAACTCAGTGGCTGATGACAGAGTCCAAAAACAAAGGTTGTCCAACAGAAAGCCAACATCCAAAAATGAGCAGGGAAACACAACGAGTGAGGCGGCTGACAACACGAGAACACACTGCAACACAGGGTGACAACATACAATGACCCAACAAAGACAAACAAAACACCAGGGACTAACGAGCAGGGCGGGAGCAGCACAGGTGACAGACATGAGGCTAACGAGGCACAGGCAGGGAGAGAGAGAGCAGGGGAAAACAGAGACTGACATGCAGAGGGATCACTGGGGTAACAACATGACAAGGGTTACTGAACACTAGACGATAGACAAGACAGAACATCAGAACACACAGAACACACAACAGACCAAAATAACAGATAATAAAGCTGACTAAACACAAAAGGTACAAAATATGACATGGCAGACAGGCAGAGTGTGACACAAAAGGCATTACTTTAAAGTGGAAGAGTCCAAGTGGGCAGGTGAAAGCTGTTTTGTCAATGCGGTCCTGTTCCATCCTGCATTGCCAATAACCACTGTTCAGATCAGTCCACAGCAAGAGCTGGAGAAGATCACAGATTCAGCTAGAGAATCCAGAATATCTTGGATGGTGGGTAATGGGTAGGTGTCAGCGTAGGTTACTGCATCAAGCCTTATGTAATTAACACAAAACCAAGGTTGTCTGTCCTTTCTAGGAATTAGGACCACTGAGGAGGACCTAGCTGAAGATGAGGGTGTGGATATCCATCTCAAGCATTTCCTTAATTAACTCCTTAATCACCTAAAGTTTTGCTGTGGACAGTTGATAGGGCCTTTTCTTTATGGGCACATCATGGATGACTAAGATTTTATGAGTAAGCACATCTGTATAGCTTAACAGTACATATAACCCCATTGTCCTGTAGTTGATTGAAGAGACAGCTCTTCCCCGCTGCATCTATTAGGGCTCCCATTATGACCCTGTTTAAGAGCTCTGCATCGAGGCTAGTGTGGCTAGACTGGATTGACTGTCTCTGGTCAATGGCCGAGAAGAAACAGAGTTGTCTCTTCCATCCCCAATCACATGGAGTATCCAAGTTTTCTCAACACAATACTTGATTTTCTTGTTGTTAAACCAGTATTGAGTACTTCCAATATTCATCTGTAGGCATTTGACACAAATTAAATCCAGACCTAAGACAATGGGGCAAGCCAGGGCTTCTGATGACAAGATCACTGCAGATACAGTGCATGTGCGACCCTGTAATGTTAGTGCCATCTCCTCCCCCGTCTGCCAAATAGAGGGGATGTCCCGACCAAGGATTCAGAGCTGCACATTCTGGTTTACTACCATGCCACGACTCCTTATTCAGATGGGTGTATGATGAGCCTGTGTCTACCATGTCCTCCGCTTCTCTAAACCAACGCTCATAGAAACAAACAGTTGCTGTGGTAGCCTAGTGGGTCAGAAATTCTGGACTCTCCCGAGGGTTCCGAGGCTAGCATCAGCCTGCCTGGTTCCTGGCCTGCTAGCACTCCAGTGGCTAGCCACCTGCCAGATCCCCAGCCTGCTAGCCGTCCAGCGGATTGCCACCTGCCAGATACCTGGCCTGCTCGCGCTCCAGCAGCTTGCTACCTGCCTGTCAGCCATCCTGCTTGATCCTTCACTCCAGCATCAAGGTTGGTTGGGGATTTGAGCTCTCTAGCTGCCTTTGTTTGTTGGACCTTGCATTGGAGCCAGAGAGCACACAAACTGAAAGTCCCCAACCAGCCAGCCATCAACCAGTCTGCCAGCGGCCTGCTAATGATCTGCTAGTCAACGTCTACCTGTCTGGTTCCTGGCTGACTTGCATGAAGGCTAGTCCTCTCCTGGGTTCCCCGCCTGATCGACCTCCAGAAAGGCCTTCTGGAAGTCTCCCAGGCCACCCAGCATGTATGAGACTGTGCTCTTGTGCACCATGGACCATGAGCACGGCAGTCTTGCTGGACCGACACCTGACACCCGACACCGTCGTCGGTGGCCTGACTGGCAACAGCTCCGCTAATGGTCTGATCGTCTCCTGCTCTTCATCCTCCAGAAGTTTTCCACCTTTGCCACAGGTCTCCAGAGGGGTTCCCCTTCGCCGGCAATTTCCATGGTTTCCGCCATCGCCGCTGGTTTCCTGTGGGATTACGCCTTTGCCGCCAGCCTCCAGAGGGGTTCTGTCTTCACCGCCAGCCTCCAGAGGGGTTCCGTCTTCACCGCCGGCCTCCAGAGGGGTTTTGCCTTTGCCGCTGGCCTCCAGAGGTCTTTCGCCTTCACCACAGGCCTCCTATTTGTCCTGAGAAGTTTTGCTGATGGGTTCCTGGTGGGTTCCACTCATCTCCGTCCTCCTGCCCGACCTCCGGAGAAGTCAGTTCAGCCTGTCGGGTCGACCTGCTGGCCGTCCCCCTGAACTGTCCTGTTCCCTCTCTGCCCTGCCCTCAGGCCGTCTGCCTGCCTCCCTGTCTGGCCTTGTTCCCTCTGTTCTGCCCTGATCGCCGTCCTGTGGTGCCCTGCCCCTTTCCAGCCATGGACCCAGAGACTCTATTTTTGTTTGTTTTTTTCCACCCCTTGACTTTGGTCCTCTTCCTGTCCTCCCTCCACTCGCCCTGGTTTGAATTTTTGATTTCACCCCTTAAGAGTTGTTAGTGCACAAATATTGTATTCATTTCATAGGTGTCATTTATACTTTGGATACTGGGGACATGTCTCTATCACTTTTTTTAAAAAGCATTTGTTAAATATGTTCTGAAAATTGGCTTGCAACAAGAATTGTTAAAAAAAAAACAAATGAAAATACTTTGAGAAAGGTTTATTTGCACAATAAGAAAATATGCAATGCAATTTAAAGATAAATTAAACAAATGTGCATTGTTCAAAAAAGGGTAAGCTAAAGAAATCTGAATCACTTTATTTAAATAAAGACAATTCTACCATAAATTGGAGCAGAAAATTAAGTGTTTAGTGCTCAAAATTTTATAGGGGACCCCCAGACACCCATTTAAATATATTTCAACGTTGAATATTTCATCAAATAGAGTTAAAATATCTTCTTGTCTTGTTCTCGTGAACCCAATGTTGTGAATTGTGCATGTGATCTAGGTGTATCGTCACACCCGTAATGTGAACCCTTATGTCCCCACCGCTTTTCAACACAAAGTGACGTCCTTGATTAATTTTATCTTATCGAAGTACAAACACACCCCAAGCTATAGTGTGTTAAATATGAATGTATTATAATAAAATGTTTTATTAAATACATGTAACTTCATAAATAATTTTCTCGGGCTTAAAATTAATACCGATTTTCCATTAAACGGCAGTGAAGCTGGTATTAAATTTCATCCTAGGTGGTATTAAAAACTTATTAAAAAGTCTTACATTTAACTTCTGGAGGTACCCTGTCTTGTTTAGGTATGTTTAGTACCTTGTCTCGTATCTTACTTTTAGTCCTGCATTTTAGTTCTCATTCTTTTCCTATGTCTCAAACAGCACTGTCAACCCGAGCACATGCATCCTTCCATCCCCGCATCCTTTCTTCTTCCGTTGTTCCTACTTTCCCTATCCCATCTCCTCTGGCCCCATCACTCCTTCCTGCCTCAATACCAGCTACCGCAGAAACCCAGACCGCACCCACACAGGTGACCCATGGGCCAGACCTTTCCTCTTGTCTATCCTTTTCCCCATCCCTTCCCCCTCCCCCACCCCATATCCAAAATGAATCCAACGTGATTGATCCCTCCTCTAACGCACTCCTTTTCTCCTCAGCTCCAGCCGCAGCCGCTACTACTTCTTTCCATACATTCGTTCCCACCCAATCACTTCACATTAGCCACAACAACACCTCCCGTGCACCCCACGGGCCCAGCTAGACCATCCCCAAACAGCTTTAGGCCCTATAGAACTTGAGCAACCAATTCCCACCAGATCCAAAGAGCTTACGCCAGCAGAATTCGCTTTCTCTTTTTCCCTGTACCGCGACACCATTTATTCAGTCTTTCCCGACCGCAGGTCAGTGCTGGATGATTACTTGTCCCTGATTTTAGACTTAGCCTTGCGGTATGGTGGAAATGGTTTCTACACCTACCACGTCCTCTTTTCATCCCTAGCTGCTGGCGCGTACAGCAGTTTAATCAAGCGACATACTGGGGCACCTTAGACCCCGAGCTTTACTGCCGCATCTTTCATCCATTCCACACCCTCGAAACCCAACCGTTTTCAGCAGTCAGCCCCTCAAAGCCCCACCACCGCCAATCACCCCAGAACCAGCCTGCACGCAGCCCACCACCCCTGGCCCTCTCCCTCAAGGCGTAGATAGGAAAGACAGACCAATCCTCTTCCAGGCAGGAAGGATGGTGTGCAACAATTTCAACGACCAAGGCTGCTCTGTTTCCAGCTGCAGATTTTTGCACTCATGCTCTTTCCGCGGCGGAGCCCACGCCAGAACAATCTGCCCCCACAACCCAACCCAACCCAGCATGGCAAGTGTGAGTATCTCACTACCCCTGTTCAAATCCACGCACTAGCCACAGCCTTAAAGAACCACCCAGATTGTCACAGTTCGTAAACTACCTTATACAGGGCTTCACTCATGGCTTCCACCCAGGCTTGCTAGCTATACCAAATTCATTATACACATGCCATAACTTGCAGTCAGCCATCACCGACCCTGACACAGTTGACAAACTCCTGACTAAAGAAACCAATGAAACCTTCACGATAGGCCCATTTTCCAGCCCACCGTTTCCCACCTTCAGAATAAGTCCCATTGGCGTGGCCACTAGGACATATTCTGGAAAAAAGCATCTAATAATCGACCTCTCTTCCCTGCATGGCTCCACTGTCCCGAGCATCAACAGCCTCATCCCAAGCTCAGACTTTTCCATGCGATATTCAACTATCGATCACGCCATTTCCCTCATCCGTACCGCAGGGCAAAGAGCCTGGCTATCCAAGGCAGACATTACCAGCACTTTT